AAACATTTATAAGGTCCTCTCTCAGCCTTCTCTTCTTCAGGCTAAACAAGCCCAGCTCCCTCAGCCTTTCCGCTTAAGAGACATGCTCCATTCCCCTCATCATCCTCATAGCTCCCCGCTGGACTCTCTCCAGTAGCTCCTCATCTTTCTTGAACTGGAAGCCCCAGCTCGGTAAGCGGTACCCGGCACACGCAGCTCGTAGGAAGGGTGGCTGAGCCCACGCCATCTCCCTGCCAAGCCGAGTGCTGGCTCGGGCTCACATCCAACATCTCGGCAACTCTTGTCCCCGGCTGCCCCAGCACTCAGGAGGAGGCAGAGGAGCGAGAGGTTGGGTACATTTAAGCCTGTGTTCCCTGGAGGCACTGCTTGCTATAAGATTAGCTGCTTTCCTTTCACTTCAGATTTTTATCTTTAATTGCCTGGACAAACTTCCAGTGACTTGGAAAAGCTCCAGAGTCAGCAGCGCTGGAGCCTGAATGTTGCTTTAGCTGCAAGGTTTCCTGGCTTCTGGGAATCAACAACAACAACAACAACAAAGCCTGTCCTTGTCTCTAAATAGATGCAGCCACCCTTCTATCCTACCCTGCTGCATTTTGACAGCCACAGTATATGCGTGAAACCACTCAGCAATCACCAGCAGCAAAGATTTTTTTTGTGAGAGTGACTCACACTTGGAATGAGCAAGTGCTGTTAATTATTCATCACTCGTTAGTCTCTTGTTTAGCAAATTTCAGTCACATTGCTGGGGATCAGAAATGCAACCCAGGTTGCTTAAAGACGCGCCATGAACAACAAACAGCTGTTGTGATCAGGCAGGCAGGCGGCCGTGAGGTTGAAATTTGCTTGGGCGAAGAATTCAGAAAATAACACTCACCAACATCACCACCAGCTGATCAATATTAGTGTGGCGAGCACAAGAATATAAACAGGCTGAAATTTCCAGACATCTAAATCCCATGAGGGATCTGACCCGTACGGACGCACCTGAAGCCTGCAGCAGCACCTTTGACACTTCCACGGTGAGGACAGGAAGGAGATACCCCAGCCCACCTCGCTCGCAGTGACAACATCTGCCTGCCCACACTGATTTCTAACCGTCTCACTGGAGCCGCAGCGGAGACAGGGCCTTGGCATTTTGGTCCCCACTACAGTGGGATCCCAGTCTACAGCTGAGACTCCCAAATGCTGCAGCAAGAGAGGCAGGCAGCAGGCAGGCACCTTCTGCTCTTCGTGCCGTACAGAGCCATGTACTCACCTTTAAGCAGAGCTATTATGAACCAGCTCGAGTGAAAACCCAGGCTGCCCGAGTAAGTAGCCCAGAGAACACAGCAAGCTTTCTGTGCCTACCAGATTCGCCTTCAAGCTTGACGGTCTCCTTAATGTGCCCAAGGCTGGCCTGAACTTTCCCAGTATAGGACTGCAGCTGGCAGGAGCCAGAAAGATTGATGGTCCAGCTCCCAGGAGTAGAGGTCTTCACTGTGATGGCCATTTCAAGGGGATTGCCAGGATACAAAGGTTTTGTATGGGTTACGTCAAGCTGGAGCCCAGTCTTGGAGACCGTGTCCTGGAGGACCTCAGTCGTGAAGGCCATGGGAGTCACTGAAGCATAGCTTGCACGAATCATCATTCTTGGAGAGTTTATGAATGAGGAAGCTCTCTCCATAGACTTCCTTTCCTCTGCAGAGCCTGGATGAAGAAAAAAGATGGGTGATAGTTGTGTCTCAGTCTCCTCACCCAGAGCCACCTTCCCTTTATTTATGTTTCTGCTGCTGAGCAGAGAGGATGCCAGGGCACCTCCAGCCTCTGCTCAGAAGACCCTGGTGGTTTATGCTACCACCGGATCAGACTGTAGCATTTTGGACTGGGAGGATTTCCTGAAGGAGACACTTTCAGAGGATGGATGCTCTTAAATTTTTCAGCCTAAGATTTTCCCACTCCTCACTGGGAAGGGTTTAACAGTCTAGCACAACACAGCTGGATCTGAGGGGAGGGAGTGTGGGGATTTTTGTTTCCAGTATGGCCTGGGAAATGGAAAGACAAAAAGAAGAAGAACCACTGGGTTGGTCACCCAGCCCATTTCTTTCACTGCTTGCAAGCTTGCTTGCACCTCTCCCTAAAGAGCAGCCTATAGGTGTCACTGCCGGCATGAAGATGCCCAGGAGCAGCGCTGACTCTCCCAGGTCTCCCGGCCTTACCGGGGCTTTGCCACTGAAGCTACCCTTGCATCTTTCTCCTGGAGAAAACACGCGTTGTGGGGTGACCTACACGGCCAGGGGTCTCCTCTTTGGCACTGTTTTAGAGGATTGGGGCAGTCACCTTCAGGGTACTTGTACTCCATGGTGATGTCTTGCCGCATGTTCCGCCCCACAGCTTTTGTGCTTAAATTCATGCCGACGCCTCGGGTCTCCGTGCTAATCTTGGTGTACGTATTCTGGCCGTTCACCTTTTTGACGAGCCAGTAGACTTTGTCAGCATTCACTTCTGCATACACAAACTTGCTGTCGAAAGGCAAATACACATCCCCTTCTCGGATAGCTTTCAACGGGCATGGACCACACTGGAAAATACCTAGAAAGCACATTCAACACCATTTGCTTTTCCAAATACAAACAGAGTCTCCAACTTTTTCTCCACCTTCAGACCCACCCAAGCAGGAATCTGTGGCCATGGTAGTTGACTCTTAGTAGTAAATATTCCTCCAACTCGGTGATGAACTCCAAAAGCCCACATTCATCCCATAGCTTCTTGGGCTTTTTATAGATGACCGAGGTCTGCCAAGAGCTTTTGTGTGTTTCCCCTCACTTAAATAATTTTAAGGTTTGAAAGTCACGGCTTGGTGATGCTAGCCACCTGTGTTTGACCTCCTGACAATATGCCACCTTCTGGACAGCCTCGAGGATTAACGTTTTCTTTCCTGCCTCCAAATTCCCTGCATCTGTGCAGGGAGGGCAGTCACCAGTTTTGGCAGTCATTCCTCTTGTTTACCAATGAACAGACTCATGACTCCCTCAGGAAAGCTCTACAGAAAGCATCTTTATGGGAAAAGCTGTGGCATTCTTACTACAGGCTGCTTTGAGTCCTCAACTTCACCCAAGAAAGCAGAGGCTGGTGGAAAGAGAAATTAGCTCTGATTTCTAGCTGTGCATTTTAACCTCAGAAATGACATTCGTGTCCCCACAGCGTCCTACAAGGTTGGTTTTCAGCCTGCTGAGAAATACCGTTCTTCCCATCCCGGGCTGAGATGGCAGGAGTGAGACCTCTGGCTCTGGGATGTCACTGCCCAAGTGCGTGAAGATGTGCATGGGGAGTAAGTCCTCTGCTGACTGGGGACCATGGTTTTCATATGAAATGTCTCTGACTCCCTGGGGACTTGCGGAAGAGCCTTTCTAGGCAAATCCTACCTTCACTTCGCTCCTGAGGGGTTGAATCGACTGCCTGCCAGCCATCAAACCCTGACGGCAGGTCCGTCCGCTTCATCCAGACGTCGTTCCACACGTGGAAGTTCCTGCGTGCATTTGGGTTGGAAAGAAAAGGAGTGATCTGTTACAGCCAGAAGAGTCATTATCTCCTTTCTTAATCCTTAAGTAAGGGCAGATTTAACGGGGATTTGTGTGTAACCCTGTGAAACCTCAGACTTTCTCTCTCTCCTGGGCAGCAAACCCAGGAGAAGTAGGGAAATTCTCAACAGAAAGGCTGCTGGGGCTGGGAAATGCGGTGCTGCAGGGTGGCACAGGGGGTAGGAAGCGTTAGCCTCCTTTGGCAGTACCAGATGGAGTCGACGGACAGCGAGTTCAGCTTTTCTCCATATTCGTTCAGGTAAATGTCAACTCTCAGGTTCTCCTCCGTATCGTGTGCCGAGTTGAAGTTACTCACGCAGCGGGACGGGATCCCCAAGCAGCGCATGACTGCAGCACAGACAAAACACAGGGTCACAAAATTGCTCAGGTTGGTGGGCGCCTCTGGGGATTGTCGCACCTGATCCCTCTGCCCAGCCAGGGTCCTCTAGAGCAGGTGCCCAGGACCGTGTCCCGATGGCTTTTCAGTATCTCCAAGGATGGAGACTCTACCTCTCCGGACAACCTGTGCCAGTGCTTGGCCACCCTCACAGTGAAAAAAACTTTTTTTTCCCCATGTTTCAGGTTGCACCCATCGCCTCTGGTCCTGTCACTGGGCATCACTGAGAAGAGGCTGGCTCTGCTCACCCCACTCCCTCCTGTCAGGTATTTATACACATGGATAAGACCCCATGAACCTTCTCTTCCCCAGGCTGAGCAGTCCCCGCTCCCTCAGTCTCTCCTTTCATGACAGACCCTGCCACCTCCAGTGCTCAGAGGCACAGTAATTTGCCTTACTAGCACAGTAATTAGGATATCAGAGAAGGGAGACAGTTCACCGTTTACCTGTAGTGAGGACTCCTGCGAAGACCCAACACTGACCATAACGGACTGGCCTCTTCGTTTTGTAATACTCCTGCAAAATGGAGACGCTCCCAATCCAATCCGAAGGGGAGGTCCCGCCGTTGTAATTCCCTGACCAGTTCCCCAGTAGCACCCCATTATCATCGTTGGCATTAACCTGTGGCCACACACACAAGCAAAGGAGAAAAATACGTGGATGAGGCTGAATACGGCTTAAATGCAGGGGTCTCTGCCCACCCTGTGGCTCCCCAGGTGCTCCACAGCCCCATGGCACCCAGCAAGGCTGCTGGTGCCGGCTGGGCACTCTCCTGGTTGGAAACCCTCCAGCTGGATATCTAGAGGGAGGGGGCAGCTGAAAAGCACTCTGCATCTTGTATCTTCAACCCCAGAGCACCAAGAAGGGTCCTACCACAGAGCTGCTCCCTGAAACACAACTGTTTTGTTGGCCCTGCCAATGCAGCTGCTGAGGAAGGACAACCACCGGGGCAGCTGCAGGCTTTGGAGATGGGAAGATGTTGTATTTCACTTGCCTCTTCCCTCCACCCAAAATATCTCTGGCTCTTTCCTCGTGGTTTCCCAAAGGAACCCATTTCAGGTGTGTCCTGAAACAGTGTTCAAGGCCCCAGGGAAAGAAGGAAGAGGGAAAGCTGGAGGGGCAAAGCACTTCTTCGAGAGAGGCATACCAAAGCAGACATGGATCTGGACACTGACATAGGTTCCCTTCTACTGCTTAGCTTGAGTCTGCTTTTGTCCAGCAGATACATGCAGGCATCCAAGACGAATTCCTCAAACTGTTTTGGAGAGAAAGTGGAGACATTTTAACACACTACTCTAAACCAGAATTTGCTCAGTCCCTACAAAGTCTGTCTAAGTACTTGGAGGAAACTGTCTCACTAGCATAACTTCAAAAGTTCATTTATGATATTGAATTTTCAAGCTTATGGGGCTTCTGAAAGCTGTTCTGTCCAAAGAAGGACTTAGACCAAACCCCACTTTGGAAGAAAAAAGCCTGTCTTGCAAAGGCAGTTGGAACCTGACCCAGCAACCTTGACTCCTGTGAGAAGTTGTAAGTCACCTATGTCATCTCCCTGCAGCCCTGCAAATTACTCACAAGAGTAATGAAAATTTAAGAGCGCTACAGGTATTCAGTCTATTGACATAGGTACAAAATGAACCCTGGGGAAAAAAAGGGACATAAATGCAGATTATTACAGCAAAAGATTCCTAATTAGCAATTGCTGATAAAGCTCCCTCAGGTCCAATTCACAGAGATGTCAAACATCCGATCCAACGAAGCTTGGCAGAATATCAACATAAATTCTTATTGCTTAATAGCAGAATAAATATTAGGATAGGAACAGCCCAGTGGAGAATGCCCTTTGGCCCCTTCGTGGAAAAGGCATCAGCGTGAGCACTTATGCGGGGCTATCTGTATCCTACAGCTTGAAATCACAGACTTATAAAACAAAACAAAAAAAGCGCAAAAAAACAGATTCCAACATTTTTTGCTGGGGAAGTCTGTCTGGATAGCGTGCAGGATGCTCCATCTGGGTGCCTGTGTGATTTCTCCAGGGTGCAAATAAACCTGCTCTGGCATCCACCTCTTATCTCCAGCCCGAGCGAGTCTGTCGTTCCCCTTCACTGGAGTTATCTGGGAGGCAGTGGGGAGGAACACCCTTCCTGAGAGGGGGGCCTGCTCGTCTCCTGCACCCAACAGCTCACCTCGCAGTCAGTGAACGCACCGCTTGAACGATGACAACCTCTGCCAGAGCTTTTGCCCCTCTCTTTTCCCGATCATGATGCAACAAGTAAATAATCAGATTTTTTTCCCATCAGCCCTCTCCACAGCTTACGAGCTGGTTACCAACAGTTACTGCGTTGCATGAGAGCAGGGAGGACTCCTTATGAGAATTTTTTCAGCCAGAAATGCTCTGTGCCCAGTTTCCATGTCCCTACCAGGGGTCTCGTGATCTGACCGTAAACGTGCCATTAAACCCCGTTCTCCAGCTGTGGCTGGGGAAAACCGTTACAGATACAGATTACCCTCAGCAGGTGAGCCCTCCCAGCGAAGCTGGCAGGATTTGAGCTACATGTGGCCTTGAACTCTTTACAGGTCTGATTCATTGAAGTGAATGCCGAAGGGAGAAAGAGGAGAGAATAAGGGTAATAACACCAACAAGACAGCTGTGTTTTACCTGACCAAAATTCCAGGGTCTACCGTATATGCTGTATGCAGACCCGACATAGATGTAGCCTGTATCGTTGAGCACGTACTCCTTTCTCTGCGCCTCATCAGCCAGGAAGACAACATCATCTAGAGCAAAAAACCCGCCAGATGTTAGGTGGTTTGCACACATGCTATACGAAGTTTTCCTTGGAAAGCTAAACTGAGGGAGCCGGTGGTCTGTAACATTCTTACCAAATGATGACCATTGCAGCACTCACATTTTTTTCCTACTGTGGAAGAATTTCCTATAAGACTAACCTTTATTCACTCCTGTAGGTCTACTGCTATACGACCACTGTTCTATTTAAGTAAAAAGTTTCTTTCTGAACGAACACTTTAGTGGATTAGGTAGACAGCAGAGAGAACTGGGGGACTGATGCCAACCAACAGCAAGCTTTTTCGTCTGGTTATTTTTTGATCTGGATTTTAAGCCAGCCAAGTCCTCTCAGCTAACCTTTGTGCTGGCCCAGGGAAACAGAGAGGGGTGACAGGGAGGTGCAAACAGAGGTGACAGAGAGATGCCGCTTAACTTGGCACCGGGGGTGCCCCAGCGAGGAGCTGGCTCATTGCTACTGCCCAGCTTCCTGCTGGTTCCGTGAGGATGCTGCTTGCAGTGTTTTATGGGGAAAAAGCAATCTATGTGGTAAAGAGAGGAGGAAAAATGTGAGGAAAGGATCCGCCATGGACAATCTTTGGCAGCAGTAATTATCACTCCCGGCTGTGGGACCACTCACCTTCACACCAAGGATTGAACAAAAGGTAGACAGCACTGTTTTGGGGCTTGTAAGTGCTAGTCCCAGCCTTCACGTTCAGGGTGTATTTTCCCACCGGGGCCGCGGGTGAGCTGGTGACAGACAGCAGGCACTGGGGAGGCAACAAGGAGAGACGGCTGACGGATGCTCCACCATGGCCACAGGCACGGCACAAGCACGGTGCCGCAGGACCGGCACAAGTGCCGAAGCTGGCAGCCATGGGGGTCTGTGCAGGGAGAGAGGAAGGCAGCGAGATGGGGCGCACCCTGTGTGCGCAGCAGGGGAGCAATGAATTAAACAGGGCAAAGCTGCTGCCCACCTAAATTACAGGGCTAAGGGAAAGCAGGACAGGGGGATGAGGGTTTGCTCTGTAGCTCCCAACCGGCTTGGCTTGCTGCCCTCCACGCAGGAGCACTGCCCACAAGCACTACCTCTTTGCCGCTGTTCTTGACGACGGAGATTTTCCACCCATTGCTATCCTCCTCCTCCTTCGGGTCCAGCGACACCAGAGTCCCCCTAACTGTCGTTGGCGTTTCGCCTGGAAACAAACCCAACACAAGGTGCAGGAGGGTTGCATGGGTCCGCAACGACGACACTGCCGTGCCCGGCAGCAGGAACAGGCAGCCGGAGGCTGCTGGGGCTTTCCCGCTTTGGCCGACGGCCACAGAGTGGGGACCCACTTACCGATGCTGAAATGCAGAGTCAGGCTGTCGGCAGCCTTCAGCTCCCTGCTGAGGCTGAGCAGGAGCTGAAAGTCCTTCCCACGCCGCACCACCAGGTTGTTGATGTTGTACGCATCCGTGTGGTGCAGGCGGCAGTTCTCGCTCTTGAGAAAGTCAATCCCAGTGACCCTCAGGTAGGTTCCTGGAAAGCCATCAGCAGAAAGGGAGAAAGGAAAGAAAAGAGAGATTGATGGTAAAATGGTCAGTAAAGACAGTTCTCTTCTTCTTAACGGAGCCCCGTGAGTCACCAAAACATCTGAGTTTTCAGTGATCATGTCGAGAATCACAGCTGATGGATGGTACAACAGTTGATATACATAAAATATAGTATCATGTCATATCATATCATATCATATCATATTATATCATATCATATCATATCATATCAATAATATAGTATAATGTAATATAGAATAAAATAAAATAAACATGTATATGTATATGTATATGTATATGTATATGTATATGTATATGTATATGTATATGTATATGTATATGTATATGTATATGTATAGAGAGTCATGCTGCTGGGACGGGTTACAGAAGCTGGCAGCAGTGAGCGTGCCGCAGCAGTCCGCCCAGAGCAGGGACCAGCGCCTGCCTTGCCCTCCAACTATTTGGCCCCGGGCTGCTGTGGTGCCACCCAGGGATGTTTGTCCTCTGAGGTGGCCCTGGGTGAGTGGGGAACAAGTGGCTTGAGGGAGGGGGAAGAAGTGTGAGGATTTCTGCCTTTGCCGGCAGCCAGGCATCCAGCCGGCATCCCAGCACCTCTGTCAGGCATCCAGCCGGCATCCCAGCACCTCTGTGCACAGGCAGCTGCCCGCCACGCACCCTGGGGGCTGCTTCCTCAGCAGCAAGTGGGATCTCACTGGTTTGGCAATCCTAGCCTGCTGGAGCACTGCCTACCCTTGCACGCTGCCAGCTGGCTGAGGGGCCAGCAGCCATGAGCCATCTCCACAGCCCATCATGGACCAGGAAGACGGCATGTCTGCAAGTTTTGTTGTGATACTGAAAGTCTTGCTTCTGTGAAAGCCTGGCTTCCCCCTCATAAGTGGAGTGGGGACAACACATCTGTATCCCATCACTGCAGCTGCTGCGAGGCAGCTCTGCTCCCCTGAGCATCCTGCACGGGAGCCCACCAAAGATCCTGACCACTGCAGCATCCCCGTGGGCAGTGCCCATGGTCCTGCCATGTCCCTGAACCCTCTACCCCTTGCCTCCATCTGCTCAGCTGCTTTGCTGGTGGCACCTTGTCAAAGCCAAGGCTGTGACAGCAACTCCTGTTTGCTGCACGTCTGTGCCATGCTGAATGCATGGAGCATCAGCTCCTTCAGTATTACAAATGGTTGTTTGTTATTACAGGTATTAAAACTAGTAGTAATAGTAGTAGTAGTAGCACAGACAGGTGCAGAAAGCGCTGCTTGCCAAAGCACATTTAGAGGTGATGCTCCCAAGTGGCCCCCAGCTAGTAGAGGGCAGCTTAAAAATTAAACATCACTGCTGGGACTTTCATCTCAAGTGTATTCCCCTCTGTTCAAAGGCTAGCCTTATATTAGCGTTGAACACATTCTTCATGATTATCAAATAATAATAAACAGTAGCTTTAATTGCTTCTTACAAAATGTAGCACAAACAGTTGAATGGGGAGTAAACCGAACGTGCTGAAATTTGGCTCCCCTCAACTGCTGAGATGCTCAGTGTCTCTGAGGATCCGAGGGATGTTCCCTGGGATGCCGAGGGCCTGGGAAATGGGACACTTCAGGACACTGAAGTTGATCCTTCGTATTTCTCCCTTGAAAATTAGTCCCAAATAATATCACAACAGTCATTACCAGTCTCTTATGGGAGTAGGACTATGCAAATCTTTGCAAGGTTTTTTTCCAAGGACTTGGTTTCTCCTGCAGCCCACGTAACCAAAGGAAGGTGCTCGTCCCTGCTGCGAGCGGATTGCTGCAGCACGCTCGTCACGGAGCACTGTCCCCCTTCACACCAGCTGCTGCGTTTGCCATTTGACTTCAGCACATTTTTGGACTCCAGCAAGAGTCCCTGCCAGGTCCCCCTCTCCCATTCATTCCCAAAACAGCAGCTGATTTTGTAAGGCACGGCATCTGAAATCACCATCTCCTGGGCTGCTCTCCACTCCCACAGCTCCTGCAACCTCCGTGCCCAGTGGCTCAGGGCTCCAGTGTAGGAGCGGAGCTCCAAGAGGCGCAACCCAGTGATACATCTGAGCAAAGAGAAAGCCCTCAGCTTTCAATGGTCTGGGGATTACTGCGTCAGGCTTTGGCAGGCTGCACAGGGGTGACAGGGGGAGCTGGAGCATGCCAGAACGCGGCCGAGCTATAGACCTTTGGAAGTGTCTAACCTGTCTTGTACTTGCCCATTAAAGATCCTTAAAGGATAAACTCTGCGTAAACAGTAGGGAGTAACAATACCTCAAAACTGCTTGGCTCATGAGTGATTCAGATTAAGATGTGGGAGAGTCAGGGATTAGTCCACTAAATGTCCTGACAGATTCACACCATACCAGGAAACCGTACAAACCCGAGTATCAACAAGAGCCGTCCCTAACATCAAAGAGGTCGAAAACCGCTGGTAGCTGCTGTGGCATGAGAGATGCTGCAGGCAGGGCCAGATCTAGGGCAGGCTGAAATCAGTGGCGTGCTATCCACTGCGACCTGCACCCGGCAGCAAACGCAGCCTTCAGCAAACCGAACTGACCACCCGTGGATCCCCACCAGATTACTACCTCCGTGTAAACAGGCTGACCATCACCTCTCGTTAACTGATTTAATTTTCAAGTGTTTTCTGTTTGCTTGCTGCCTGCCACATGCCAAACTCAGGCTGATGTTTTGCGCAACTGTGTGTGTGTGTGTGTATATGTCAAAAAAATTCAGCTGAAATTGTTTAACCCTCTTGATAAGGACAAAGGAGAAATGCGTCTTCCACAGCATTAGCAGATCTCCAGCCACCAAAGCTGCTCAGCTTTCTTCCTTATGGAAACCCTGGTGCCATCTGAGTAGCTACCAGAAAGCAGCCCTGGTGATGGGAGAGGGCTACGGAGGAATGTGGGAGCTGAATATATAGGATGGCTGTGGGAAAGGGCCCTGGCAAATCCATCCCTCCAGCATTTCCTAACTTAGGGACTGCATTTCCATCCCCTGTTTCTGGACATCACCGATGCTGAGCACACACAGAGACAAACTGCAGAGAACAGTGGCCTTGGATTATGGCCGGACAGTGCAGAGCACGGTGCCAAAGACCTGTCCCCGCGCAGCGCTGCCCGTCAGTCACGCTGCACTCACTTATTCCTGTGCAAACACACCTGCGATACCCTGCGATCCGGCTGGCGCGGTGTCCGGTGCCAAGAAACGCGGCGCAGCGAGCTGGCGGTGTGCCCATTGCTGTGTCCAGGAGGGTCTTGCCGCCAGCACGGGAATTAACGATTTCTAGCAGAGCTGAGCACGCCGAGAACACGCCCGCTCACCGGCCAGAGGCTCGAGCTGCAAGAGGCAGCCCTGGCTGCGCTCCCTCCTGGGGCAGGCCAGAAGCAAACCCAAATCCTGCCAGATAAATTTTTCCTTTTTTTGCAAGAAATTTCAAGGCAGTATTTTTATTTTTATCTCCTAGTTCCATGATTTATCACTTACAGAGCTCCTTCCTATCCTCGCCCGCTGGCCCCATCGCATTGCTACCTGCCTGGGGAGATGTTCAGAGCTTCGAGAGCACAGCGATCACCCAGAACAAAAATGGGGACATGAGGACATTGCACTGATAAGGATCTGGGGCCTTTTTTCTCAGGTGAGGAAGGGAATGGGGTTTAAAAATAGATTAATATGGAGCAGAGCATTTATATCATGCCTGGCTTCAGCAGGAGGGCTGCCCAGAAGGACAAGAGGGAAGTGGGATGGGAGCTATAGTTTTGCAAGACAGAGCAAAATTTGGACACCTGCACTTACTCCTCCTCCTTGCCCAACCTCCAGCAAACACTCTCTCACATCCCAGAGATGTGGGATCACATCCCAAATACACTGCTGTCCGAGGCCTCCTGGAAAATTTCAGCTCATCCACATCCAGAGTATGAAGGTGTGAAACAGAGGGGCTCGGAGCACTGTCAGGGCACCCTTCCCCTCCTGATGGCCACGGAGATCTGCTCCCCGCTCGCTGCAGGCACCACCCAGCCTGCATGCACAGCTGCTCAGCTACGCCCCAAACCCCAGGGGTTTTGGGCATCCTGGGGCTGGGCTGCCCTGGGAGCACAGCCAGCCGTGGTGGAGCAGCAAGGAACCTCTCCAGGTAGGTGCAGGACCTTCTGACAATAGGGCAGGCAGGATGGCCACGGGACGGGGCTCAAGTCCACATACATTTCCTTTTCAGTTATTCTGAAACTTCTGCCAGGTAGTATCAGCCATCACTAAAAAGCAGTGATCTACACGATTAAGGAGCCTGAAAGAAAGAAATTCTTTTCACCTTGACACAGAACAAGTTTAGGAAAGCTGTGTTTCTTTCCTATTATCACCGATAGAGCCAGATGTCTAAAGGGTTGATGAAAAGTGATGAAAAGTGGGTTTCATTTTTCAGTTGGTTTACTGATCCCTCAAAACCAGAATTTGCACAGCCAGAGCCAACCTATCCCCCATGAGCAGCAGTGGCACCGAAACACCTTTCCCCAGGATGTCACCCATGGCAGTCAGAGGGGCGAGAAACCCTGCATCTCCACTGGAACTGCCATCCTCCCGGCAAGAGACCTGCCAAACCGTGCATCTAACATAGGTTAACGTATCGAGCGTTAAAAACTCACCAGGGCTATAGCTCATGGTTCTTGTCGGTGTTTCGACCTGAGGTGCTTGTGATGCCAGCAGCTTCCAAGCTCCTGAGTAGCCTCTGCCACTTGCTTCTGAGTGTGGAGAAGGCAGATGGGCTGCCCTTTTTATGAGTGTCTCGCTCTGAGGTGTCAGCAGGTCCACTGCCAAGGGGTGGTGTTTAGAGAAAGGAAGTTCCCGTGTTAAAAAAAAAAAAAAGACTACAACTCCCTCTGTGCACAGTCAGACCCTGAAAAACAGCGAAACTTAAATCCCAACTCACGTGGAAGGTGGATTTGCACAATCAGATGACAAGTGGACAGACCATTCACTGACAAAGAGTAAAATCATGGGCCAGGTGAGTAACAAGAATGCACCTATGACCTAACATCCAGGTTACTGGGACTGCAGCTCCAGGGCTAACTTTACAAGGCAACCCACAAACACTTGGTCCTTAGAAAACCAGAGGTCTCTATTAGGATCAGTCTAACTTTCTTTGACGTTAATGAGATTCTTGTCATCACGAAAATGTTTGGGACAGAAGCACTTGAAGCTGTGGGCTAAAATCTAGCGTTTACACGTGTGGGTTGGAAAGCCCCAGGATCCCGGTGCCGGCCCCCTCCCTGTGGGGTCGGGTGGATGCCAGGGGAGAGAGCCCAGAGAAAGCGCTGGCTGGGAAAGAGGAGAAACAGGCCATGTCCAGGAGGAGGAAGAAACGTGGTGGATCAGGAGCCGTTTGCCAGCTGCTCTTTGCTGACAGCTGTACCGAAGGTCTCTGCCCAGGAGGTGGCTGGACCCCGCGTGCCCCACTGCCACCCTCGTCCTCAGGGTGACCAAAGATGGACAGATGAGTCTACCCCATGGAGGGGAGAGCTGGTGGCAGGCAGGCCAACAGCAACATGGGCACAATGGTCAGAAAGAGATACAAACACGTCCCCAAGTACGCAAAAGTGAAGAGGCGGCTCAGCTGTGGGAGCGGTCTCAGCCCCCCGATGCCCCCCTTCATTGCAGCAGCCCAGGGTCCAGCAAGGTAGGACTCAGCCTGCAAGGCTGGCGCACCTAAATGTAGGATCTCCCTACACAAGGTCTCCCTGTGGAAGACCCCTCAACAGCATCGACTTTTCCCCATCAAGTCAGGTAGCTAGGTATTTACTTTAGGAGGACTGTTTCATTTGGTGCTGCAATGTCGGTGCAAGCTGGGTGCTGAGTTAGCAGATCCCACCCTTCAGGCACGTCGCTGCTTGCTGGAGGTGCACGTCAGGTGTCCTTGAGAGCAGGACTAGTGCATCCCAGGGCACCGAGGGTTCAGTACACATCTTTAATTTCGCAGCACATCTGCATGAACATCTGAACCACCAGCATTCTTAGTAGACAGAGCATCACTCACCATTCAGCATCAGAAAATGTGCTGGCAATTACATATTTCACTATTGAAAAAAAACACTACAGCCCCAATTTACCTTTCAGCTTTGCTTTTACTCTGCATTTCTTTCACCCCGGAGGGTGAAAGACATTTTTGTTTATAACCAGCATGTTTATAACCAGCATTCCATATAGCTGGAATGTTGGTACAATCATATAACCAATAATACATGTAATCTGAACATTTACGATGTATATTACTTCTTTCCACTTAATTGCAGCAATTGAGCAATCCACTTTGTCTGAAGTCACTGTCAGTAGCTTTCTAATCTAGTCTCAACCTGTTATATATATCATTCTACGCTCTGTTGGAGGCAGCTTAAATTGTGTTGACAGTAGTCCTACAGCAAAACCTACAGATCTTTGCAAACAGGAATGGGTTGTCGTCGGTAACGCTTTGGTCCTGGAAAAAATGTTTGCAGATGTGTGCTGGAGGGTCAGTGGTGGAGGCAGGGCACGTGTTCACCAGGGACAGTCACATTTCCAGCCCTGTAGGGATTTGCAAAAGGCTGATTTCAACAGCGTGCATGTTCCGACCCTGATTTTGAACCTCAGAGTTCGAGAAAAGAGTGTAGAAGTTAGATGGGGGAGGAGATTATATCTTTATCACAGGCAATCTCCAGCCTATTGCCGATAACTTCAACGACTCATTTCCCAGCTTGCAAAATCAGACACCAGAGGCTATCAGCCTTATCTGCATCTATTTGCCACAAGGTAAGTCACCTCATTAGCTGGCATAAGAAGGTAATAAAATGCAAACAAATAAAATCAGAATTCCCTAGTGGCTGCTCCCCTATTTACAAGCTTGCCCTTTGTTTCAGGTTTTTGTTTATTTTGTGTATCAAAAATGACAAGAATAAGTCAAACTTCCAGAGCTTGACCACACATATCGGTGCCAAGTAGGAAGGACATTGCAACCCAATCATTAGCTTTACAGATTTATTCACTTGCAACTCCATGTCTAGTTATGGAGAAGTTGCCTTTTATAACAGAAATGTACTGACCGACATTTTTTATAACCATCTGAGGCTTCACGATGCTTCTGTTTTGTACTTTTTTGAAATATGCCCAGTCAGAGTAGCACTCAAAATAAAATGCAGACCAAAAGCACTACGGGTTTCCTTTTCGGCACTCTGGAAAGGTGAACTGATCCTTCCAGCTGCTCCGCGGAGCAGCTCCGAGGTGCCAAGGGGTGAGCAGTGCATCCGCAAAGGTACGCACACATACGGCCCACGGCTGGGTCCTGAGGGGCACCACGGCGAGAAGGTGCCTTCCACTGACCACAGCAGGACTGCTCCCACGTGTACCACCTTGTACATGTTGAGTCCTTCCTGAGTCACAGCCTAGGGAGCGATCAGTACTGAGAAGTCTTGGGCGGTTAAAAAGGAATAAAATGCACAGATGGAGAACAGCAGAGGGACTGGTCCATCTCTTCTGAGCTGGACCTTATTCAAGGTGCTACGTTGGTCCTCCGCTCACCAGTTCATTAAGCTTACATCTTGATCATTAAGAACCTCCTAGTAGTGAGACACTTCTCATCCATATAATAGCCCTGACATGTCATGCTGCTGTTACTCTGAAAGGAGCGTTGATCTCATCACTTCTCACTCATGTACACCAACCACAGGCCACGACAGCAGCCTGTCAGCTACGCCCCGAGGGCACCCCATGTTCCCAGCAGGCAGATTCTCTTCTAATCTTACATGAGCCAACTTACGACAGGCAATTGGATGTCAGGGGTTGATGCAAGATGGCCAAGCCCAGACCTTAACTGATTCCAAGTCGTCTGGCCCCAGTCACCTGGTAATGAGTTTCTCACAGGCAAATACCAAACAAGTGATTGATGCCAATATAATTATTACAGAAATTCCATTTTTTCCTTCTCACTGAACTGGTGAGACTCAAAGAGGGTTTTGGACCTAAAATTAAGGATGTAGGTGACTACCTTTGGGCATTTACCTCCAGAAGGAATGAAAACCGTATTGCTCTGACCCCATCCCAGCACCACCCAGGGAGTCTGCTCCTGAAGCAGGCAGAAAAGAGAAAACAGAGGGTGCAACTATACATATACCAAATGTAGTCTTACGGCCTTGTGATCCCTACTCAGGCAAAATGCTCCTGGGTAGCACTTTCCCTGCCCTGAAAGAGAAGTTCTGTGGTCATCACATGAAATTGAGACTTTAGGCCAGGCCATCTTGCAAAAATACAGAGCTGTTTTAACAGCAAGCCAGAACGGTATAATGTTAAAATATCTTTTCTGGTTAATTTTCAAGATCCCTTTCTCCTTCCATAGCTGAGATGCAAGAGGCAAAATTGCGAAATCAGTCTAGATACAGGGAGCAACTATGTGTGAAGGTTGAACTTAGGATTTCAGTACTATGACTACTTGACCCTCCACTCTGGTACAACTGTTGCACTTGAAACACCAAAATGAGCATGCTCCAGTGCTGAGAAGATTACATCATGTATTAGACTAAAATGAGTCACGATAAGGTACTCTTGCTTCCCAGCAAATCACTTCCTTAGAATTTTGTGCAAGAAATGACAAAAAAAGATCTCCATTGCGCCACTTCTTCCAGGCAGCAGCTTTTTTTTTTAATAAAGTTGCCTCCTTTTTGAACCCAAAGAAACTGTCAGCGCCTGCGGCATCCCGCGGGCAGGAGTTCCTCAGCTGGATGACACACTGTAGGAGAAGGAAGCTTCTCCGGCCTTGAAGCGCTGCTTGTTAGCTTCCCTTGTGGCCCCCGTTCTTGTGGTAGAGGACACAGTCAACAGCTATGCCAGCTTACTTTCTCCACGCAACTCATGGTCCTCTCAGCCCCTGTTACCAACCACCACTATCTCTTTTCCACACTGAACGGTCATAGCCTGCTAACTCGCTCCTCACACCTTTGTGCCACCCCATCAAGAGACCCAAGATGGGGAGAAGGACCACCCTCACCGTGCGATCCTGCAGCCCACAATGTGTGCTTGGAAATGGTCCAGCAGGGTGGGTGCAGTTACTCCAGGGCCGTATCCACCCTCCTGCCACTGAGCCATGAACCAGCTTCGAGTGTGCATGTATGACCGCACTGGTGATTGCAGTGTGGACACACATCCACAGGCTACACCTAGAGCAAACAGTATGAAAAGGTACGAGAGAAAATAAAGCAAAAGAGGGCTGCAAAAAATAAATGGTAAGGGCAAGGAAATCAATAGCGCAAATATTGAATCAGTGATAAAATAGTTTATCCATATATTAAAAACTGCTTCAGAGAACAAGGAAAATACTGACAGAATACCTTCCCACCTACAGGATATGTGTTTGGTTGCAGATATCTAAGTGAGAAAACAGAAACCTGCATGCCAGTGTCTTCAAGTAACACTTCTTTCTGCAGGGGTGGTGTAACAGCTTCTCCCACCCGTCTGTGTGGGTGTGTGTGTCTATATACACACAGATGTACACAGTCTGCAGACTCCAGGTCAGATTACGCCGTGCCGCACCCCCACCAGCCAGCAGTGCGACTGAAATAGCTGCGTGGTGGGAAGGGAGACCCTTCCCAGACCAGGAGGATTTGCAGGAAGGAGCTGGTCCTGCCCAGCGCTGGAGACCCAGCTCCCGTGCCGGACGGGAGCAGACCCAAAGCACAGCGGGTGCAGAGGCTTTGGCCCACCCCTGGACATGGATGTCACGTGCGGCAGTCTCCCTGGTATGGCGGTATTGACCGAGGGCAGGGATCTGTGGTTATTTGTCCTGAAAAACAACAAAGCCAGCATACTCCTGCCTGTCCCTCTTCGCAGCAACCAGACCATTGCCCTTCACAGCAGCACAAGATGATCTCACCTGGTGGGCAGCTGGGTAGCTCCATGCCCACCATGGTTCCTCAGGAAGCATTTTCATGCAGCAGCGGCTGCCGGCAGAGCCAAGCCTGTGAGCTGCCTAACTCAGGAGTGTCCTGAGGGGAACAAGTCATTTGAGATACCTCCTCTCTGAATGAGGAAACAGCTGCTGGGCAGTGGGAGACGTGGCATTTGTAATGCCTCATCCTTCCCTACATGTTGCCTTAACTTACTGAAAGTGAGTAGGTTCGAAGGCCTGGCTGATGCTCAGACCGTGCACGTCCACCGAGAGCCGGTCACGGTGCCAAGCGGAGTTGTTTGACTCTTACCTCGTGCTGTTAAAACGAAGAGGCTCCGCTTTTTCAGGGGAGGAGGCGAGCTGCTCATGCAGCCAACCTCCATCCCCAACTCCCACAGGCAGGATGAAGCTGCAGCCCGTGATGACCTGTGAGCCAAGCGAGATTGAGCAACGGGTTCCAAACGTGTACA